TATTATTCTTCATATGTAAACGTTTTAAATATTATATCTTTTTTAATTTATGGGTGTTGAGATCAAGCCCTGAGATGCATGTGCCTGTTTTCAAACCCATTGACTTGAATATTGATTGGAAAAAAAGTTTAAAATTTTCATATTTTATAGAAAATTTTTCCATCATTATGTTTCAATTAAACTTAATCTCAATAGATTTAATTATTGGCTGGGCGCGCGGGATTGACCGTGGCCTTGGGGCGAAGATTTGTCCGCGGCCTTGGGGGTGCGGGATTGCTCCGCGGCTTGGGGCAGGATTGTCCGCGGCTGGGGTTGGGATTGTCCGCGGCTTTGGGCGCGGATTGCTCCGCGCGCATAGGGCGGGCATTGTCGTGGCTGGGGCTGGCATTGTCCGTTGGCTGGGCGGGCATTTGTCCGCGGCTGGGTCGGGAATGTCGTTGCCTGGGGCGGCGGCGCAGATTGTCGCGGCTTGGGGCTGGATTGTCCGCTGGGCTGCGGGCGGGATTTATCGCGGCTGCGGGCGGGATTGGTCTTGCGGCTTGCGGGGCGGCGATTGTCCGCGGACTGGGGCGGGATTGTCGCCGCTGTGGGCGAGCAAATTGCCGCTGGGCTGAGGTAGGGCGGGATTGTCACGGCTGGGCGGGATTGTCCGCGGCTGGGGGCTGGATTGTCCGGGCTGGGGGCGGGATTGTCCGCGGACTTGCCGGGCGGGTTGTACGTTGCAGGGGGCCGGGATGTCCGTGGCTGGGCGGCATTGCTCCGCTGGCTTGGCGGATTGTCGACGCGTGCGCTGGGGCGGGCATTGTCCGGGGGCTGGGGCGCGGATTCGCTCCGCGGCTGGGGGCGGATTGTCCGCGGATGCGGCGGGATTGTACGCGGCTGGGGGCGGATTGTTCCGCCGGCTTAGGGCGGCGATTGTCCGTGGCGGATGGGGGCGGATTGTCGCGCGCTGGCGGGCTGGGATTGTACGCGGCTAGCGGGCGGGCATTTGTCCGCGCTTGAGTCGGCGAATTAGTCCGGGTGAATTGTCTTAGAGGGCTTTTCTTTTAGAGGCTTTCATTCATCTATTATTTGATTAAGAACATGTCATTGCCCCAGGTTATATGCCAGTCATTAATCTACCTGAGAAGACTCATTAGAGCTTTAGTAGAAGACTTTTTTTTTAACTCAATAGATACTACTACAGCGAATTGCCCTATATCCACGACAGCCGTGTGTTCCCGCATGGAACGATGCTAACACGGAGTAACAGCAAGCCGGCGTAGGTGCTCGCCTCGCTTGATACTGTGCGGAGTTCACTGCCTTGCAGTTCACCGATATTGCCTTTGGAGTCGTCTGGATTCCAGTAAGCGTTAACAAACTGGTGCTTATCTCCGGTTATGCGGCAATACAAGCGCTTTACCGATTCCCACAGGAGCGAAAATACTACATGCATAAATGGTGTAAACTTTATTCCGACGTGTACTACATTGTGTAAACATTTTTGCCCATGACATAATTGTGTGCGATCGATACATCATTAATGCTTCTACGTGACACCTACGTCATGTATCTCGTCGATGTTTGTTAATCATTTACCAGTAATTAACTGTGTTCTGTGTGCGCGTGCATGACGTGCGGTGCGCGTGGTTTATTGTGTGTGTGTCGGTCGTGTTTATGTGGGTGGCCTGTGTGTGTGCTGTGTGTGTGTGTGCTGTGTGTGTGTGTCGTGCTGCTCGCTGTGCGTGCGCGTTGTGTTTATGTGTGTGCTGAGCGTGTTGTATGTGTGTGTGTGTGCTATGTGTGCTGCGCGCGCCGTGGTGTGGCATGTGTGTGTTTGTGTGTGTCTGTGTTGCGTGCGTGCGTGCGTGCGTGTGTGTGTGCGTGCGTGCGTTGCGCGCTGCGCTGCTGTTTATATGTGCTGGGCATGCTTTGTGTGTGTGGGTGTGTGGCGCTCGACCGCGTGTGCCGCTGTTTATGCGGTGAGTGTGTGTGTGTGTGTCTCGTGTTGTGGGTGTGTTGTGCGTTGTTTGTGTGTGGTCGATTCAGTGGTGTGTGTGTGTGTGTGTGGTGCTGTGTGTGTGTGGTGTGGGTGTGTGTGTATGTGTGTGTGTGTAGCGCGCGTGCATGGCAAGTGCGCGTGCGTGTATGTGTGTGTATTTTGCGCTTTGTATATGTGTGTTGTTTGTTGTTATACATGTCGTGTGTGCGGTGCGTCGTGTATGTGTGGTGTAGTGCGGACAATGTGTGTGCCACGCATGCGTGCGATCGTGACCTTTGTGCGTGCATGCGTGCGTACGCTGCTCTGTGGTGGCGCGTGTGTGTATGTGTGATATTGAGAGCAGGCGTCAGCTCCGCTGGGTGTAATCTCTTGTCTTTGCTGATAGCTCTTGGATTTTAGAATTCTTTATCCAGTCACGGTCAACCTGTGCACGTTCTGCGCGCTTGTGTGATGGTGGTTGACGCGTGTTACGTCTGTCCGTCGGCGGATACGACCGCCCACCCGCGCTGTGTTTACTGGCTGAAATACACGCGCTGGTTACAATAATAAGCACGCGGTAGATATTATGCGCACGACAAGAATCGCAACGCTGTAATGTATACTATATTGCTACGCTAGCCGCGCCTCTCACCCGCCGATAGACGCGCCGCGGGCTCTGCTCCTTTACACAGGTAACATTATATTGATAATGATTTAGACACTGTAATGCTGAAATGAGTATCAGGTTTATTATTAAAGATACATTTATAAGAGTAAATCTATATCATGATGAAGATAAATTCGTGCGTGGATAAAAAGTGTGTGGATTCTAAAAAAAAAAGTACTCTACTTCTACCTAGACATTATTTTTAAATTTCACAAGTAAAATTTTACATTTAGGACTAACAATTAAGTATTGTGAAAATGCGTAGTTAGGTCGCCGAAATGCACGTGTGTGTATTGATAGTGTCTACATGTGTAACTACGTAGGTTTGGTAGAGATCGGCAGACATTGCCATCGCGCTGTATTCCAGGTGTGAGGTGAGCTGGATGAAATCAATTAATACGGTGTAGCATTCCTACATATATATAGGCCTACTGTGTGAAAATCTAGGGTAACTAAATATGTTCTCTAGTCCATACGTTATAGTAACCCTTACTTACGTTTTATATAAGTGTATATCGGGTAATAATTTAACAAATATGTGTTAATCATCGCATATGAATGGCTTTCATTCGTCAACTGCGTGACGATTAATTTATTCTAAACCGTTTACATGTTACAATAATGCATCCTCCTTTTTTATTTCCGTTTATATAATTTAGTGATATTTTACATATCTATTTATTAATTATCGTATAGAATATCGTATTGTTATGTAATCTGTTTGGAAATTGGTATCAAGTTATTTATTATCCGAGTATATTTATCAATCATTTCTGTTAATAGTATAGTTGCCTTACTAATTCTGAGCCGATTCCCTCTAGTATCAGAATGCCGTGTGACATTTTACATATAAAAAATTATAATTATTTATGAAATCTTCGTTGTTTGGGACTTGAAGCCGGCATGCTGAGTTCTAATCATTTAATTTCAATTAATCATTGCAGATGAATGGCTTTCATACGTAAACTGTGTGACAATTAAAAATTATTACAAAATTTATTCTAAACCGTTTACATGTTACAATAATGCATCCTTCTTTTTTATTTCTGTTTATATAATTGAGTGATATTTTACATATCTATTTATTAATTATCGCATAGGGTAGGGTAGGGTAGGGTAGGGTAGGGTAGGGTTATGTAAACTGTGTGGAAATTGTTTATCAAGATATTTATTATCCGAGTATATTTATCAATCGTTTCTGCTAATAGTATAGTTGTCTTACTAATTCTGAGCCGATTCCCTCTAGTATCAGAATGCCGTGTGACATTTTACATATATAATTATTCATGAAATCTTTGTAGCTTGTGACTTGAACCCGGCATGGTGAGTTCTATCGTGGAGCAGGGCTTATTCTCACGTGACGCTTATAACCCTAGTAAACAACACTGGTCGCTTGGCAACCACTTGATCGATGCGTACAAATTACCTGGCAGTCTGTTAATCTAAATTAATGGCTTCTTGTTACGCTTACATGACGTTAACTGGTGCCATCTGCAGTTGGAGAAAGTTGCGAATCGTATTATGCAGTGATTCTGATTTATAAAGTTGTATCAATACTATGTCGTGACAATAAACAGATAGAAGTCAGTGTGAAAAACGTGTAAATGCAAGTGATTTTAATATTTCGACTTATTCATTACACATCACTAGTGACAAATTACATCACGAAAGTTACGTATATCACAAGATCCCTGCCTGCTTCCTTAGATCTTGCCGTCTAACATGTTTCTACAATTCGCAGTCGACACTCACCGATAACAGGTCACGAATGTTTTACAGCCTTTTATCATCATTTACCTAACACCCACGCAATTTCACGCACAAACGCATGCACATATACGGATACGTACACATGCGTGCACAAACGATCGTACGCACCCACACGCAGACGTGCATAAACGCTCGCACGCAGCCAAACGCACGCACGCACGTACGCAGGCAGGCGCACGTACGTAAGCCTACTGCGCGATTACTTCACGTTTGTACTCGGCCGCTTTCTGATAAATGAAACTTCGCACAACATTTTCCATAATTTACCAGCTACTGCAAGCTATAGAGACTCAATTAAAATTTTTACGCAGTTAGATAATAAAAATTTAAATTTTAGGGCGCGATTTTAATAAAAATTTAAGGCGGCGTTTCCTGTCGGTCTTCTCCATGTTGATTAGGCCACAGATGTATACCGAACACAATATGGGAACCAATCTATAATTTTACAGGTCGTTGGTCCTACGGGTCGTTGGTCCTACGGGTCGTTGGTCCTACGGGTCGTTGGTCCTTCGGTTATTAAGAGGGGTAGAGTGAATGCCCCAAAAATAAAATTAATTAAATTAATTAAACAATTTTTCCGCGCGTATCTTCCTCGTCGTCAAGACAGCGAAGCAGACGTGAAGCTGGCGTTTGTCAAGCGTGACCATGGCGACGGTTTTCCCTTCGATGGGAAGGGCGGCAAGTATGCGCATGCGTTCTTCCCCGAGGCGGATGCCGCCTACCAGGTACGGCATCTTTGACGATTCTTCCCATACTTTCAATTCTTCCCGTATTTTAACAGTAGATAGGAGACAGTAATAATATCATGAGCAAATAAAAGTCAAAGACAGGTTATAAGCTCCTTCAAGGCAGTTAGTCAGCAAGTTTTGTCACCCTTTCACGATTAGTTAGTGCACCGAGTATATTTATGTATCTGTCTAAATCTATATATATATCTACATGAATATGAAAGGGTTAACCACCACTTGATCGCTGTATTGGCTCATCCTTTCTCAGGGCCGCATACACTTCGACCTGGACGACGCGTGGAACAGCACCTCGTTCCCAGGCTCTGCTCTCTTCCACATGCTTCTGCACGAAACCGGACACGCGCTGGGACTGAACCACTCGCGAGTCAGGGACAGCGTCATGTATCCGTACATCCGTCGGCAGCACAACGCAGAAGTACTGCTGGAGGAAGACGTCGTTCGTATACGTCGCATGTACAGTAAGCATGTTCTCCTAACTAGTGCTCTCAGGAGTACAATAATATAGACTCTATATAGTGTCTATAATAATCTATCTAATAGATTGATATGTCTATAGATAGATCTATCTAATGGTGTAACATAATATCAGGAGTGAATAATAATAAATAATTATTATATAGATAATATTGAGATAGATATAGAGATAGATAGGTATAGCAAATATAGATCTATCATTATTCACTCCTGATAATATAGTGTCTATATTATGATACTCCTGGCGAAATAATATAGAGAAGTATGAGGGGGGGGGATCTTCAAGAATAATGCAGGTTTACTACGTTATAATAGCATTCATTAAGGTATAATTATATAATATTGTGGCTATAATTAACGATTTACATCTCACACGGAATAGAGACGTAGAAACCGTAGAAGCGATAGAAATACGACACACACATAATATATTTAACACATAGAATACATGAGCATGAACATAGAACGCATGAGCATGAACATAGAACGCATGAGCATGAACATAGAACGCATGAGCATGAACATAGAACGCATGAGCATAAACATAGAACACATAGAACGCATGAGCATGAATACAGAACACATAAAACGCATGAGCATGAACATAGAACACATAGAACGCATGAGCATGAATATAGAACACATAGAACGCATGAGCATGAACATAGAACACGCGAATATGAATATAGACACGTGAACGTAAATGTATACAAAACACATTTTCTTCTCTTCCGTGTTCCATTAAAACGAAGTCCACTGTGTTTCACCTTCACCCACTACTGCAGGCAGCGAATGCGATGCGATGACGACGACGACAACGACGACGACGACGACGGCAGCGCCATCGTTCGGCGACTGGCGCTCGACGACGCCAGCGCAGCTCGTCTACCGTCCGGCTCAGCCAATCAGAGCGCGTGCAGCTCCCGTCTTCTACCTGTGCTACGAGAGGCGTTGTGACATATTTGGCCGCTGCGGCTGGGTTCGCTATTCGTGCTCGCTGTCTAGAATGCCCCGTAACATTATCTACGGACGCTAGCGGAGTAGCGGACGTGAGCAAAACACAGAGCAGCGAAGATTGTGAGCTTTTCACGTTATTTTTTGTTGTGCGTGATGTGGATGCAGTGTGTGTGTGCGTGCACGAGCGCGCCCTGGTGGCGCGTTACGGCATCGAGGGGGTTACATTTAGAGGGTCCGGTTATACAGAACGCAATTAAGGTGATTTATAAAGCAAGATATAGATAAAGAAAAAATAGAAGCGTGTGAGAGAGAGAAAAAGAAAGAGAGAGGGAGAGAGAGAGACAGAGAGAGAGAGAGAGAAAGAAAGAGAAATAAAGAGAGAGAGTGTGTGTGAGAGAGAGGGAGGGCGCGCGCG